CGACCACATTCCATTCACGAGACCAATAAGTAACGAAGAATACTGACCCTGTTCGCGTCTTCCTAGTCGGAAGCCGCTTTCAGGCTCAGGTTCAACCGGGAGACCATCGCCTCTCGTTTATACTGGATCTCTTTGCTGTTCTCTGGCGTCTGGCACATAACTCTCTGCCACTGTGCTGTCGTCTACATACCCATGTGTGGAGATAAGTGAATCATTTTATAATTAGATATTGTTTTTGAAGATATTTTGATACGAGTACTTATTCAATGATATCAAAGTATCGTAAAATATATACTAGCAAAACTCCTTGTGAAAGAGTTCGTCCAGGGAAGTACTGCCACCTTACCTATTTCTGCTGCTAAACAGAAATCACATTACCGTTCCAGTTTTGAAAGGTAGGGCTGTTGGTGAAATTACAAGCACATGAAACTTGCCAACTTATGTCTCAGGGTGACAGGCGCAGTGGCAGTGACCTTCAGATGTTTGCGATTTAAAGATGTGAGTGGCAATGCAACTGCTATGGGCAGGCGTATCGTTTACCATCATCAGGGGCACGACTTGTTCGTCCTGTCACTTGTTATCATAATAAAAATATTACATTATATTTGCTAACCCTAGAGCAGTTCGTCAAAGAAATTAACAAATATTTATAATTAAAAATTGTAATTGCCTTATCAGCAGTGGTACATACAAATTGAAATGCCTTACCTTATAACGTAAACGCATTAGCGGCACTTAATTTCTTACTTTTACACTCTTTTACAATGATAATAATGTATATATTTTAAATACGGCAATTATTTGAATTCCTTATTTTTTTTCTAAGTGTTTAATATGAAATAATGTTTGTGCGGATAGTTATAATTTTAGCAGTTTTAATTTCAATTCACGCTACGTGTGAGTACCTAATAGCTTCACTTTCAAGGTGTATAATGAACGACAAATAATGGACCTTTTATTTTGCCTTTATATTTCAAATCCTAAATTTTGACTACTTTTGTTTTTTTTTAAAGAATTATTTTTTATATTGTCCGTGTGGTAATCGAGAATATTGTTAAAATTAAAAAAATGATAACACTTTAGGGTATGACGTAGTTGAGAGAATGAATATGGGAGCATTATTGTTTTAGTGTTAAATTTGACGTGTAAGCAAATCAAACAATTCGTTAAAGGCCACAATAGTCGAAGACTTTCTATAGCTAAAGGTGAAATAAAAAATCAGCCAGCCGGTAATAATTTGAAACAAATGGTAAGTTCCTCGTAATATTTGTGTCGGCATACTTTGTAAATAAGTATTGTAACTTCCTTGATATTGGAAAAAGTAAATCTTATGCAAATTAGAGTAAATATGGAAAGTATTGTATATAGTTTGTGTAGTCACATACCGGACTGTTCAGACATAAGACAGAAAGTGCATTTATTTGTTTATGGCACCACAAAAGAAAAAACAACAAGACATAATCAAAACATTGAAACGTAAAACTAAATTACTTTTATTTTTATTACTAAGCCGGACTACTACGCAGAAGTCCCGGGTTCAATTCCCGGGCCGAGAGAAATATTCACGAGAGACATAAATGTAGGCCATATGTACAAGGCCTACATTTATGTCTCTCGTGAATTTGGATATAATTTGTGGTTGTCTATGTGCGTGCCCATGGCACTCGGGAAAAAAATATTACAAAATAAAACCACAAAGAAAACAAAAAAGAAATAAACTCCAAACCATTTACATAAACAAGGACACTAAATATAAAAGATATTTGTGTGATGCCAGTCGCGGTAAAAAAATGGTCAATGGTCACAACTCGATTTCTATTTGCTGGGAAGCGCGATGTGTTCTCTGCACTAATTTTCAGCTCACTCACGGAACAACATAACGGAAGCGTACTGACTTAAAAATGCCAATGAAATAATTAAATTTTGTGTATACATTAAACTATATATAATAGATATGTATATTGTGTGAATTGTGTCTACTATGTAGGTGCTGAAAGTTTACTTTTTTGTGTTTTTTATATTTATTTTTTATTTATTTTGCTTTAAAATTTACGATTAACAAAACAAAACAATGTGCATAAACCTATATAGCTTTTACGCACATTGTGCAGTCGTAAACTTTGTTTATAAAGTAGGTAAGAAAATACGTATAATATTACTAACATACCTACATACTTAGAATAATAACGCATAGAATGATAGTTTCATATCAAACGAACAAGTGAGGCAAAAATCAAATTCATGAAATTCATGTAGGCTAGTTTTAGTAGTAGGTTAGTTTTCGGTTTTAGTGAATATTTATATAAAAATACAAGTTGAAACGCGTTACTTCCTTGTGGAATGTGATGTTAGTATCTATTTTATGTTTGTCTGACGTATTTTTACACTCATTTACCGCACATTTCGTCATTTTTAGCTAAAATTCTTGATCTGTTCGCGGTGCAAGTTGCACTGCGCCCGCCAGCTCGTGTAGGCCCTTTTGGCGCGGTTCAATTTGCCTCACTTAGCGTGTGCGGACTAGGTTTCTATGCGTTATCATTCTAAGCCTACATAAAGCAACTAATATAGTCACAAAAAATCAATAGGTACATATTATTAGTATGTGTGAATAAATAAATAACAGGTGGCGCAAAAGTAATGTTATAATGTGAATTGGCTACCATTTTCTTAAAAATTGCTTTGTTTTCTCGAAAAGTTTATTTGAAGAGGTAACATTGATGACATTAAGTTGAAAAAATTATATCGATCAAATGACCACCTTCCGAGTAGATGATGCACATTTGTTAAACTTGGTGCGACGAAGCTCACGGTACCACCGTAACCGTAACTGCTAAGCGTTACAGGCAGATGTTAAACGAGTTCTTTTTTCCGCAAGTTACTGTATTGGGTCTCGAGCATTGTTGGTTCCGCCAGGACGGGGCAACCGTTCACAATGCTCGGGCGACGATGGAGATTTTGAGAAACCAATTTCCGGGCCGAGTGGTCTCCCGTTTTGAAGTTTTTAACTGGCCGTCCAAATTGCCAGATTTAACGGCGCCAGACTTGTTCTTTGAGGCTTCTTATGATCTCGCGTTTACCATAACAAACCTCAAATCTTGCAAGTCTTGAAAGCTAACATTAACGACGAATTCGCCAATTTGAAGGTAGAATTTTGCGAGCAACAATTCAAAATGCCGCAAAACGAGCACAAATGTGCATCAAATCGAGAAGTGTTCATTTGATCGATATAATTTTTTCAACTTAATGTCATCAATTTTACATCTTCAAATAAACATTTCGTGAAAATAGATCTATTTCTTTTCATTTCTAACAAACTGGTAGACAATTCACATTATGCTATTACTTTTGCGCCACCTTGTACGTAGGTGTTGGTAAACGTTAACAACGTTGCTTTTGATTTTCCGACAGGAGAGCAAATACTACACAATATCAGTTATAAACAAATGTAGAAAGACAATCGCAAGTAAAAACCAAAAGATTACAACAAAATATGTTTTTAAAAGGCGCCAAAACAAGTTCATATCCTGAAATTTAAAATTTTAACAAAAACATTATAAATACAAAAATATTTGTAGCGATTTCTGTGGTTCGCTACGCATATAACTCATTCATATAAGATCATTGTAACTCAATAACTTTATATCGAGTTCTTAGGTTTTCGCGATTGCTAAACATTGGAAACGTAACCTTTGTTTGGGATTCAAATATGTGATTTATCAAACAAACCAACGTTTCGAGCTCTTTACAGATCCCATAGAGACAAAACAATATACTCGATTTAGATCTGAAAAAATAATTTAATTGTCAATTACTTTGATAGAAGACACATTATTTCTAGAGGGCGACGAAAACTAAAAATGACCTGGTTCGTGGTAATATTTTTTCTAGGTATGGGATGACGAATTAGCCGAAAAAGCAGCAAAATGGGCTGAACAAAATAAGATACAACACAATCCTGAAGTAGGTGTACGTAAGTAATATTTTTATGGTTAACCATGACCAAAATACAATCAATAAATTTGAGTAAAAGAATAAAATCACAAAGAATAGCAGTAAAGTTCCTTGTTAAAGAATTCCTCCAGGGAAGTACTGCCACCTTACTTAGCATTACTGCGTTCCGGTTTTTGAAGGAGGCTGGTGAAATTACAGGCACATGGGACTTGTCGACTTATGTCGCAAGGTGACTGGCGCAGTGGCAGTGCCCCTCAGATCTTTGGGACTTAAAACTCAGAGCGGCACTGCAACTGTTATGGACAAGTGTGTCGCTTACCACCAGGCGCGCGACTTCTTAGTCCCGCCACTTCGGATCATAAAAAAAAGAATACAAACATTTCTGGTACGCTTTGTTAAAAATAATTTAATTTTGATCTTTGTCTTAAATTAGTAGCAGTAGAGCTTTTTCCGAAAGAGTTCGACCAGGTAAGTATTGCCACCGTACCTATTTCTGCCATCAAGTAGTTATGTGAGCATTATTGCGTTCCGATTTTGAAGTACGTGGAAACTACAGGGATATGTCAACTTTGTGTCTCAAAAAGAGGAGCACAGTGGCAGTGCACCTCAGATCTGGGTTTTTCCCTGTCGTCCGATCGAAACCCCGATCGGTAGGAGAAAAACTTTGAGATTAAGGGTCGAAACACAAAACTGCGAATTGGCGCGAGGCGAATTCGCAACGCGATTTCGTGCGGCAAAGCGTCTCACTGCCACGGTTCGGGCAATCATTCCTTCGACGATCGTCAATGGCTCTAAACGTATTTTTTAAACTAGGCAGCGACAGGGATCCTTAAAGGAATGTTGCACTGCTGTTATTGATAAGCAAACATAGGAAAAAACACAAAGAAGATTAACATCGCAGGAATGCGCAATGCGTCGTGCGAGCTCGTAGATTTCTGCGATGCTACCTCGCATCGCACTTTTGTCTTTCGACCTTTAAAGCTCTGAACGGCAGATGTAGGCAGTGGTAGGTGTGTTCATCTCATCGTAATCGTAAAAAAATATTTCAGCGTCAAAGAGATTTGAAACAGGGGAAAATCTTTACTTACGCCGCAGTACTAATCCTAATTATAAATTGGATTTGGATACTAGCATTAAGGAATGGTTCGACGAGCACAGGCATTTCAAATTTAAAAAACTGGAATACAGCGATTTTCAGACATCTAATGTTATTGGGCACTATACTCAGGTAATAACGTAGGTGGTACTTGTTCGCAACGTCTTTGTACACTTATGTAATGATAATGGATAGTTTTTTTTTTAATTAATCGGAATCTCTAAAGCCGACTTCTGTACAAAAACGTTTTGATTTTCCACTATTTTGAAAAGTAATAAAAATCTGTCCCTTGTTACCCGTACATAACCAAGTACATTATTGGGAGAGGTACGCTCCAGTACCACCATACAGCACGTGATACAAAATTAGATAAAGTAAAAGGAATGTTTGTTACAAAACTCTTACAAAACCAATACGGCGGACTGGTAATTTAGGAGGAAAAATATTACTGCTACATAAGCTAGTTATGTACGAATAATTTATTTATTTATTTAGGTAATTATATTTCAGACAACTTGATAGGTCCACAATTGTGTTAGTAACTCTTAGCCTACGTTAGTACTTAATAATTAACATTGATTTCATCCTTTGAGTGAGTTTCCACGTCAAAGGACAATCAAATTTCTTAGATATGATCTTCAAGATGCTGTTACTGCTGCCCCACACTTTATCTATGAGTTCGTTTTTTTGCGTAAAACTACGTTGAAACTCTCTGTGCATGCCTCAACAAACATGCTCGAGGCAGCTGCAACAGTACCCTGAAGGCGTTGTTATATTGGATGCGCAGAGCATTGTAAGCCCTTTCATGATGTGTATCCGACCCACAGACTTAACGAGTACAGAGAAGTGCAGAATGCCTTAAATAGCGTTATTTTAACTGTAGCCGTACATCGTGCAAATCTGCTGGCAAGCATGTTCGCCCAGACTGACAATGCTCTGCGCTCCCTCTCTATGTCTGCATCATCTCTAAGGTCTTCGGTAAACAAATGTCCAAGGTATTTGAACTGGTGCACTCTCCTAAGGGGAACACCATTAAGTACAATAGGTGGAAAAAAGAAAGGAAATTTGATTCCCGCCCTAAAGAACACGTACTCAGTTTTTTTGACATTATAAGTTAACCCATGAGATGCTGCAACTGACTCGCATATGGCGAGCAGCTGTCGTAAAGCAGTGACTGATGCTGCCAACAGCACCATGTCATCCGCATAACTGATGCTGTTGACATATACACCATCAACAAAACCGCCGACACGCATGCCACTGAGTCACACACATAATGTTTGTTCCCTTTACAAATCCAATATGGCGGACCGGTAATATTACACTGAGAAAAAATTATTGTAGCCTAACCATGTTACAACGATGTTTGTTATATATTAAAACTACCACGATACGTCAAAGGTGACCTTGTGACCTTTGACGTATTGAGACCTTGTGTTATAAAAATAATTTCATTTCAGGTGGTATGGGCAGACACTATGTACATCGGTTGCGCAATATCTCAGTTTCAAAATGACAAATGGAACTCTTTCATTGTGGTCTGCAACTATGCACCAAGGTATTTTATAATAATTTACTGATATATTAAACAGGAAAGTGGACTCTATGTTATCCGTGCAGGTGGTAGGACGTCTATCTGTGTTAGTGAAGCTGGTTATGCGTGTAGCATTTTTGACGTTATAGCGTAAGGTTGGTCCCAGTAACGCACATTGGCCTTGAAATCCTACGTTCCGTAGCTATACCAAATACGACAAAGGATCTAATTTCTTGTGGTCAAAAAATATAAAACATTGAAAATTTCTTGCGGCGACTGCACCCATGATAACAAGATTCAATTCTCCTTAACCTCCTAACACCCAGCAAACTAAATTTAATGGGAATAGTGCTAAACACCCAATGTACATCGAAATGTACTAACAATGATTACTTAATTCAGGCCCAAGCATTGATCTATTAACCCATGGGCCCGAGCAATTAAGCCCTCAGTTTTGAATAGCACATGTTTTTCTAGATACTCTTTGGTCAAATAGAATATATAGCACTAAATTTTCATTATAATGTGTGTGCATTGGGCATTTACGTGATCATAAGAATGATATTATCTGGGTCTGATCACATCACATATTGTGAACATTTTGAAGTCCCCGTGACTTCGGAGGTTAAGAAAACCGGCGGACGACAAAGCAGAAGACATTTTTATTGCTGTGTATTTTATGCTATTTCGATTGAAATAAGGTATAAATTTCGAGACGCTGAGAGAAATGAGCTGCAATAGTCGGAAGCCGGTCCCAGAGCATAAAAATTTATACCATATTACAATTGAAATATACATCATTGTTGATAAATTAAATTTTCCCTGCCTTCCCGTCCATCGGTTAGGGGCCAGCGCCCTTAGAGCCCTAACATACAAACATTACGATATTGAAGTACTAACAGTGGTCGTATTATTTTGTTGTCGCCGTGATACTTTTAGCGTGGTTTAATAGAATATTTTGGTTTTGCTTTAATTGGTTAATTATGGTGTTTCATATTTCAGTGGTAATAGAATAAACCATCATCCTTACGAAATACTAGGAGACAAAACTAATGGACTTATATGTAGCCGTTCTAAAGGTAATTGCGACAGAAAATATGGCAAAAAATGTTCGTAAATAAAGGCAATGAAACTAATAAGTTTTTACTTAACTTACTTATAATGAACATGGTTTTTTATTTCTTCTTCAACCAAAATTCTATAGAAGCGCGGACAGTCGATTTAGTACAATCAATGGTTGATATACAAAATTTACCTTTCACGTTTTTTTCAAAAACTTTATACTAAAGGTTATTAGGTTAGGTATTATACAACTTCTGCGTACTTGGATGACAAAAATCCGTGGTAGTAACCCGTTTAGCTCATGGAGGTAGTCTCGATCTCTGATGTTTCAAATAAAAAAAATATATATTGTAAATGTTGAATGTGTACAAATGTTATTTACAAAGAGCAACCCCTAGAGTTTCTTGCTTATTCTTCTCAGGGGAATCTGCCTTACGAATGAGTGGTAGAGTTTAACCATGGTGACGATTTCAAGTGTCATCATTTTGAATTTGAATTTGAATACATTGGTCAATAGGTGAAATGCGCGTGATATAGGATATTGATACATTTTGTGTTAAAAATAATTATAAAATGTAAACATCAAATTAAAAACAAATGTATTTAAAAATGATTGCGCAGATTACCATACTGTACATTGTGAATGGTAAGTGTAATATGTAAGTGAATTTTGTTCGTTTGGATGCAAGGGCACACGTCTGTGGGGAATCATTTCTCACCAGTGACGAATAGGAATGAACGAAGACGTGTTGAATCAGCTGTCTACATGCTAAGTTTTAATCTGATTGATACAGGAAGAGCTACGGATCGAGATCTAATTAAACGCATGGATAAAGTGTGCAATACACAAGTACAAACCTAAAGTATGACTAGCCCTTTTTGTTTCACCCTGAATATTTGTCTTTGTGAACGAAAATACGTGAACTATGTAAATAATTTTACATTTCAAAATAAACTCTACTAGTTTACTACTTTTATTAGTTTTATAATAATACTTTTAATATAGGTGCAAAGAAGAAGAGTGATCAAGACCAAAGGAAATGTACTAACAGTTTATTTAAACCAACAATGTAAAACTACGAATGAAACACAGAAAACAATGACAATAACAAAAAAGGCGCCAAAAACATGTTGATTTAATTTCTTTTATTTTTTTTCCATCCTCTAAGATTTAATGTCATGTCATATTTGTTTGAAAAAACAAATATACGCGATTTAAATCCAGAAAAATCTTAAAGGATGGAAAAAACAAAGGAGCAAATCACGGAAGAAAAAAGCTGTGGAAAAAATAGTTTCATTTCCTATGTGTAACAATCGCGAAAACCTAAGAACTCGATATGTCGATTTAAATTTAGAATTCCAATCTAAAACTTAACTGCTAAAAAGACTGTTAGGTATAAAATTTGTTAAAAGATTTGTAGCGACTGCTGCTATTTGTTACAATAGGTGCAACCTTAGGGTGAAACGATAATATAAAATACAGAATATTCATGGTTTTCGTATTTAGTAGCAGTAGAGCTCCTTGTGAAAAAGTTCGTCCAGGGTAGTACTGCCACCTTACATATTTCTGCCGCCAAGCAGTAATGTTAGCAGTACTGTGTTCCGGTTTTGAAGGGTAAGGGTGCTGGTGAAATTACAGGCACATCGGACTTATCAACTTATGTATCAGTGCGACGGGCGCAGTGGCAGTGCACCTCAGATCTTTGCGATTTAAAGCTCTGAGGGCACTGCTACAGTTATGGACAGGCGTGTTACTTGCCATAAGGCGGCCGACTTGTTCGTCCCATCTCTTGATATTATATTAAAAAAGTATACACCGAGACATACACGATCTTGAAATTAAAATACAATATTATAAACTTTAAACTAAAATAAATTACTTACAACAAAAGATAAAACAGAAATAATTAAAAAAAAATGTAGTAATACATGCGTGTCACTGCGCACGCAAACGGGATTTGCTCAGCTATTAGCTACTTTTGCTAAGGTTATATTTGTTCCTCAGGAAAGTTACTCACTATCATGTGTAAAGTCACATAATCGTTGTAATTTTTGGGTTATTGAATGTCACGATGTTTTTTTTTGTGAAAGTACTCCACTAGGTTGTTGTAATTATTATGACAGAGATCGAAACACTAAGAAAAATTCATTCGATTCGGCTGTATTCGGACCAGTACCGCCAGGCAATCCGTGCCAGATGCCACGGAACGAACCAACAGATCTTTCGAATTTTTCTTAGTGTTTGTTGCAGATATTTGTTTTTGGTATTTAACGACTTTTTTGCTTTTTCACCACATCATCATCATCATCATATCAGCCGGAAGACGTCTACTGCTGAACATAGTCCTCCCCCAAAGATTGCCAGACTAACCGGTTGGACGCAACGTGCATTCATCGGTTACCCGCCGTCCTTACCGGGTCATCGGTCAATCTAGTAGGGGGCTGTCCCACTGAACGCCTTCCGGTTCGTGGTCGCCATTCGAGAACCTTTTTGCCCTAACGGCCGTCAGTTCTTCAACTTGCTAAAACTTTGAGTTACGTCGGTGACTTTCGTTCTTCTCGGATCTCCTCATTTCTGATTCGATCACGTAGAGAAATGCCGAGCATTGCTCGCTCCATGCCTCGTTGAGTGACTTTGAGTTTTTTTGTGAGGTCCATAGTAAGTGACCACGTCTCAGAGCCGTAGGTCATCGCTGGCAACACGCACTGCTCGAAGACTTTTGTCTTCAAGAACTGAGGTATTGAGTACGAGAAGACGTCCCGAAGCATCCCGAAATCTGCCCAACCGAGTCGAATTCGACGATTGACCTCTTCCTCGAAGCTGGGGCTGCCTAATTGGACGGTTTGTCCGAGGTAGATATACTCGTCAACAACTTCGAGAGTAGAGGGTCCCACTGTTATAGGGGTGATGTATAAACTTAGATCTAAGCAACAATTTTATTCTGAAAGACTAATGTTCAAATTACGTATAACCCTGTGTTTTGAGAAAAAATAGTAACAATGAAACGCTGCCAACTGCCACAAAATTTGAATTTAAGAAAGAAAATATTAAATTGTAATAAAGTTTAACTCTAAAATATGGCAATTTGCGCTATGTAAATTGTATAGAAAAATATCACATAAAAAAATTAAAAAATCTTTTCTTTGCGGCTTCTATATAACCATAAACGATGGTGATCGCGACTTCGGGGTTTGTATTTGATTTATAATGCATTTGCGAAATATTAGCAATAGTAATACAATAATCGTACTACTTAGTTCGATGGAATGTGACAAAACGGTAAAGTACATTTTGATATATAAACATTATAAAAGTTTATATGGAACTTGACAACTTTATGGCAAAAAATATTGTGTTTGATTTTTCATTACATCTTGTGTAGTAGGAAATGAAACTATTTTTCCGGATTTAAATCGCGTATATTTGTTTGACATAAGAGTACAGTATGAGTGCAGTACTAATTAATATGTTTTAGTTTATTCTAATTTCTATTAATAATTAATAATAAATTAAACTTAATAAAAATTCATTCAATAAAATAATTTGTAAAACTTAATGTAGCGTAAATTGGAATGTTTTCTTTGTAAAATTAAAAATAAGGTAGGTATTTAATTAATAACTATTGTAACTATAGTGAAAAAATAGGGTGGTTTGCATTAATATTAGACATAACTGGTTGAAGACTGTACCACCTCAGTCAACCGTGACCATGGGACCTGTAAAGGGCCCGAAACGTCGGTTTGTTTGAAAAAACAAATATACGCGATTTAAGTACGGAAAAATAGTTTCATTTCCTATGTGTAACAATCACGAAAACCTAAGAACTCGATATCTTGTGTAGTGTTTAGACATTTTGTTGTATTCGTAAATTAACTTACAAATTCCAAAATGGCTACCTCTGTTATTGCACCAAGTACCTACACTCGACCTCATTGCTGCACAAATGTTTCTATTTGTTAAAACTTTTATAATAATAAGCGTATGTAGACTTCTTTATTTCTAATTTAGTTTACTGTAGATGTTACACCAACATTAGTACAAATTTCATTAATAGAAACCAGATCTTTAAATTGTACAGAATCAATATTTAAAAGTCAATATTCAAACCTGCCTACCGTATCAAGTTGCGGCTAAACTTAAACGGATACAAGTATTAAAATGTGAATGTCAGGAATGTAACTAATCAAATAGACTGATATCATTGCCATTAAGAAAAATGCCCATATTGGAAGAAGAGAAGACTTATTATAAAATAATCAGTTATACCAACCAACTTCATGGGCTCTGATACAAACACACCGAAATTAATAATTTTCTGTTTTCCTTGTTAATTATTTTCGAATATGCTAGGGTTGACACAGAAATATTATTTTAATCGACTTCAAAAAAGGTTCTCAATTCGACTGTATTTTTTTCTTTGTACGTTACGCGATTACTCCGACTTTTGTGAACTGATTTCGATGATTTTTTTTTTTGGAAAAATAGTACCACAGTACTGGCCCCATTTAAATTTAAAGAAAATATTCTACCTCTAAGTGCGTTTGCGCATCCGAGACTATACAAATCTAGAAAACTCGGACCCACTTCGGATGTCGCTTGTACATCTAGAGATAAAGCAATCTCTGTGACGTTTCGGACAGTCATTTCTCGGATTCGGAACTGGAGGTCTACTCTCGATCTCCGTCCAACATCCGTCCGAAACAATTACTGTCAAATAAGTGATATTCGACAAAATTAAAAGACAAGTATCAAGTATGAAGCTTCCTTTGCATCAGGCGTCTTTTCATTTGGTCAAGTATTGCTTATTTGGCAGTAATTGTTTCGGACGGATGTCGGACGGAGATCGAGAGTAGATCCCCTAATACGAATCGGACGTAGTGCGCGAACGCTCTTAGTGTGGTAAATTTAGTCGATGAATCCGGTTACTTGAATTTTAGCCACATTCCGTTAGTCGATTTTAATAAAACTGGGTACATAGGTGTACGTCCAATTAAAATAAAATGTTATGGTGATCTAGAGCTGATCGATGATAGCAGCCAGATGCAAGGAACTCCTCAGCAATGTACAGTGCTATTACGTGCAGTTGCCTTGTGTTTGGGCTCATAAGCTTCGTTTTGTCGAAACTTCCACATGCGTTTCAATTGTCATTGAGGAAGCCAGGGCAAGCAACGTTTCAACGCGGAAAAGTTTTGAGGTCGGTTTTTGTGTAAAAAGAGTTATATTGTTTCCCTGTTTAATGTTTATAAGGTTCTCTCAGAAATTATTGCGTATTTACGTTAAATATAAAATAATAATTATTGATGACAAAGATCGAACACTAAGAAAAATTCATTCTGTCGGGCTGAATTTGAACCAGCACCCTCAGGCAATCCGTGGCAGGTGCTCTGCCAATTATGCCACGGAATGAAACAGCAGACCTTACGAATTTTTCTATATGGTTGTTGCAGATATTTGTCTTTGGTTTTTAACGACTTTTTTGCCGTGGCGCCATCTGTGAGAAATTTATTTCTTCACTCAGAGAGGTAACTTTACAGCTACCATCGCTAACTGGAGACGTAGCTATAATTGTAATTTTATTAAGTTTATTAATTATTAATGCAATATACTTAATTGTAATTTTTTAAGTTTATTCCGTGTCCTAGTTCCGTGGCTGAATTGGTAGAGCACCTTGCATCTTGCAGTCGAATCCAGTCGGACTGAATGATTTTTTCTGTGTTCGATCTTTGTTATTAATAATTACAACAAATTAGTGGAGTAATTTCACAAAAAATGATAGTAAAACGTAACATTCAATAAACTTAAAAAAATATAAATTAATCATGTTTTTAATTTTTTCGACATTATGATATTGAATAGCATTGAATGTCCATTGAATGACAAAAATAATGTTGAAACCCTAATTATTGTTATATCTAACTAACATAAGGTTTTACAAATTAAAATGCCTTATCGGCTATGTACGCATTAGTGATACTCATTTTCATAGTTTTACACTCTTTCATGGAGCTATATAATGATGATAATTTTATATAATTTTTTTAATACGACAATTATTTGTGTCCTTGGAACTTTTTTAAGTGTATGAAATGAAATAATGTTTGTGCGGACAATTTTAATTTTAACCAATTTAATTTTAATTCACGCCACATGTGAGTAATAGATTTCTTTTGAATGTTCTGTGATAAGTACAAAATAATGGAGGTTTTGTTTTGTAATGTAACTTATAAAAAACAAAACCCTACTTTATGTTTATAAATAAATAAACTTTACTGAAAAGTAATAAAGTATAGAATATTCAGTAGTATATTACACTGAATAACATTGACTTTAGTCAAGCATAATAATAGAGAAGAATAGATACTCAATGGAATCGATCACAACGATGAATTCATTACTTGTACTCATTAATTTGTGGATTTACATATCTACATGTTTACCAGGTTTTAATGAAATCGGCAAAGGGAACGTGGGTGAAATACAATAAACCGGATTCATCCCCTAATTTGCCACATTTAGAGGTCAATACCTCTTGGATTACTTTCTTCAAATTTTCATGGGATCACTACTGAAGTACCCTCTTTTTAACAAAAAAGGAATCATCGAAATCTGATCAGAACTGCATTTTAGTACTCTGGTACTAATAGTATAGACACACAAAAAATACTGTCGAATTGATAACCCCTTCCTATTTTCAAGTCGGTTAAAAATTGATCATGTTTAGATGTATTTGGAACGTGACGTCACCAAAATTATTCATACTACCAAACATTTAAATCTGTGACTTGTTACCAGAAGTGGGTAAGGGATATGGACAATAGATAAAACTATCTACAATAACTACATAACTATTTAAAATTTTATGAAAACTGGCAACCCTATAAATGACCCTGTCATTTTACTCCGTCTTCACAAAAGACAGACTATAGGTATTTATTGTACCAAGCCACAGAAATGTGATGTGGTGTGGTGATGTAAGAATGAGAATCTTTGTATTTTCAGTGTTAAATTTAACTTGCCAACAAATCAAACAATTCGTAGATGGCCACAATCATCGAAGACTTTCCATAGCTAAAGGTAAAATACAAGACCAGCCAGCAGGTAATAATTTGAAACAAATGGTACGTTTATTCTTAAATTATGTTTGCATCTTGTTCATAGTTTCCTTGAGCTCTGGAATAATAAATTTTGTAAAAAAAATTGTAAAGACGTGGTAGCCTTATTGTTTTACCTACCGCCTCTCAAGCTGACGCCGTGGGTTCGAATCAGGACTGGCACTTCGGAGTTTCTCGGAATTGAGCGCGAAATTTAATTTGATATTGACCATGAGCTTTTCGGTGAAGAAAAACATCGTGATGAAACCTACACGTTGAAGAAGTTTCTCAACCCTTGGAAAACATGTTAAGTCGCCAACCCGTATTAGGCCAGTGTGGCTATGGCCTAAACTTTCAGGTGAGAAGAGGAAACCCTTGCCTAGCAGTGGGACCTATAAATGGGTTGACGATGATAAATGCTTTTTTTTATACATTATAAGTGCGCATTTGAACTCCATCTCACCTGATGGAAAGTGACGATGAGGTCGATGATGGAGCATACACACCTAAATAATGCCCATTCACTCTCGTCTATTGAAAAGGCCCAAGTTATAATATTCAGGGAACAAGTCTGTAGGCAGGGAATTCCTCTCCATAGCCGTTCGCCATATAAATGTGAAAGCATAACGCTTCGTGCGAATCTTAGGACAAGTGTAGTAAAATTTATAAATTGCATAAAAATATTATTAACCGACGAACGTGTATTAAAGCATTGATGAATGTTGACGAGGCAAAAGATATGTATAAAGCGGGGGGCCCACTAGCGCAGCCTCGAGACGAGCTGCCTCGTCCTCAGCGTGCCTCAGGCTAAGGCGAATTCATGCATCTCCACTAGAGCAATCTGCACTATAAATGAAGATGGTTGCCTCAACCCGAGCCAGTTTCTCACTGACCATGATCGGGAACGTCGAGCATATCCAACCGTCTCCACTAACTAGCACACGGCTCACAATGAGGTAGCGATACACGCAAAATAGGCGCCTTGACGTCGAGTTGCGGACACCAGGCCGTTACACCAAGTACCAAGAGGTAGCGATGCGTGACGTTGAATGTTACTAATACCAATCATTCGAATGAGCAAATCATTCGCATAAACCGAATCCAGACGCTATCGTTCGACTCGACTAAATGATTGCCGATACCGAATCGGTCGAGTGCACCAGTCGCATGATTATTATGTCGGAATTACTCGGGACTCCATCAGATTATTCACCAAGTCCATATCAAAATATCCCTGTCCCCGTCACATTTACTGTATTTACCATATGTCAGAGAGGGCTTGGTGATCACGAGTATCGTTGTGCTCTATGGAATCCATGTATTAGTAATGAATGATCATTCTGATCATTCGAATATGGAAATTAGTAGGTTATTAATTTGTCAATGACAGGATTAGTAATTACTTACGTGTCGAATATCGAAATCATTCGCAATCGCGCATTGCTACAATGAGGCACTTTGAGCCGGACATTTGCCGACATTAGACGGCTCGCCACGAGGCTGCCTCACTTCCTGATCTGCGGCAGTGTCTCCACTTGTTATGCCTCGCAGGTCGAAGCAGCCGCTCGTCTCGAGGCTGCCTCTAATGGAGTCCCGTCATATGGATCGTAACAAGTGGAAGGCTGTAATCTCTGTCTTCCAAAACGAAACGAGAAGAACGTAAAGTGTAATGTATGGTATGGTATGATGTATAAAGATATTAATAATATTAAAGAGATTGCAAATAAAAAAAGGTAGAAAATGTTTTATAGCCACAGCTTGGTAGCGGCTCGCTATACACAAAACTCAATAGCTTTGATTGAAGAACCATTAAGTATATCCAATAACTAGACCAAAGCTTACGTATCTTGCTTATGATAATGCTTTTCTTAGATATGGGATGAAGAAATAGCTCAGAAGGCAGCAAATTGGGCTGAACAAAATAAGTTCCAACATAATCCTGACATAAGCTTACGTAAGTAACATTTTTCTACCACACTCCGACATTTGCTTGTACAATAAAGTAAAATTGAGTAGTAGTAGTTTAAGTCACGTCTGTATAAAGTTGTGTAAACAACATCTGTATGAAGAATAGAAGTGCTTTGGCACATTCACGCTTGATATTTTGACACATTTTTTATCTTTGTTCACTTTAATTGTTCAGTAACACATACAATTAGCCATTCTAATATTATTTTAGCGTCCAAGAGATTCGAAACTGGTGAAAATCTTTACTTACACCGCAGTACTGATCCAAAATTCGTATTGAACCTTGATGTTAGCATTCAAGAATGGTTCGACGAGCATAAGAATTACAGATATAAGAAACTGGAATTCAGCGATTTTCAAAGTTCTAAAGTTATTGGACACTATACTCAGGTAATAAACAAAGATCAGGTGATTCTTGCAACATTTATTTGTCGTATATCACGATATGATGTGGTCCCGGCGCGGGCGGCGTAGCAACAGACACCGGTTCAGGTCCAGTCAGATCAATGATTTTTTTAATGATCATCGAGAGTCTCTAAAACACGAGATTTGCATAAAAATGTTCTTTAATTTAACGTTCAAATTTTGTACGTCTCCAAATGCGTCAGAGCCAATTGTAGTTTGTTTAAATAAAAAAATGCCATGGTATCTATCTATCTAGCTGTCAGAGGTTTTAGCTTTAATAAAAAATATAATATAATGCATATTTAACTTCTGACTTTCTCGAAATTTATTTGAAATGTACCATGAGCTTTTCAGTCAAGGAGATCACCGTGATGAAACGTGCACGTCACGGAAGGTTCACAAACCTTGGAAAACGTGTGAAGTTCAGCCACAGCTAGGCCAGCGTGGCGGACTATGACCTAAATCCTCGTCTGAGAGGAAATCCGTGCCCAGCAGTGGGATATATAAATGGGTTAATGATGTATATTTAATTTGGTCCATTTGATAAATTGAGGCTTGAAACGGCGTAAATTTATCACTTGGACCAGGCATACGATTAATTTCTAACCTTTTTTTCTCGGAGAAATGCGTTACGCATACCCCGCGCCCGGGGGAGGCGCGGAGTTATATGGGACTCTCCTCTCTAAGAAGAGAGGCCTATCCAGTAAACGTCCACTCCACGCACCTTGGGGCGGGAACGCGGAGACGCTTCCGCATATGAACACTTGGCTGTCCGTCAGGATCCCGTTATGTCCGAGCGGTAGGATTTCCCAATCCTGATGCCTGAGGACCCCTACGGGGACGGAAACGAGTGGGCATAAGCCTGCCTTCTTCGCCCCATTCTCCTCCTGCGGATTGGAGCCGAGAGTACATCGTCCTCTCGACTACGCTCCACGACCTTCTTCTGCGCCATCACTTTCTCGCAGAATGGTCCATGGTCATGACCACGGCCAACAGCGAGAGGTAATTTCCCACCACTGCAGCGAGAGAAGCTTACTGCGCCCACGCTTGGCACTCTGCGAGCGTATGGTCCGCAATGTCCTCGCTGCAAGAGCAGTGGTGACATACTGGCAGTGGCTCTCTACCGACTATGTGGCACAGATACCTGCCGAAGCTACCATGCCCCGACAGGATCTGCACCAACCGGTAAGTGAGCGAACCGTGCTGCCCGCTTAGCCATTCCTTGAGGATTGAACGAACAACCGTCACAGTCCGCTCGCCCGTGCTCGGCTCTTCCAGCCGATTTCGTCATTTCGTCAGCACTTTCCGTTGGGCGGATCTCCTCCACCTCATGACCTCCTCGGGGGTCGGTCCTTCTTTTCGGGCTTGTGCGTCTGCGCACCGCCTATACACCTCCGTAAGGACTCTAGCATCGAGGTCCCAGGGAGGCGTACAAGCGAGCACGCACGCCGCTTTGTACGACACGGTGCGGTAAGCTCGTATTGCTCGTATTGACCGTTCAGAGCTCCGACCCACACCGGTGCGCCTTATAGCGCCTTATAGGACCTTACCACGCCGGAATATAACCGGCGGCAGATCACATTCGGACCACCCAGATTCGGTAAGAGTCATCCGAGAGCAGATGCGGTCCCGATTAGCTTGGGAGCCAACCGTCGAAAATGCTCCCGGAAGTTTCACCAACCGTCTAGTAGTCCCAGATATTTAATTCGAGGCTTCACCGCAACGGACACCCCTCCTACGTCAATGTTGGCACCTGCGGGCGGCCCCCTCCGGGGTCCGTGGAAACACAGAACCTCGGTTTTCGCCACCCTCAGGCCCAGCATTTCGATCCGCCCAACGACCTGCCGAACACCAGCACGTGCCGCCGCCACCTCAAAGTTCTCCCCTCGGGCTGTGATTAGGGTGCGTAGCCGTGTAGCAGAACACCCGGAGCCCGGAAGGAAGGGCGCCCCACAGGACCCAATCATATCCGATGTTCCACAGGAGCGGCCCTAAGACCGATACCTTTGGAACATCGCACCGCATGATTCCGAGGCAAATAACGCCATCCCGCCCCAGGTATAAGATGGATCTGTCGCTCAAGTGGGCCCCGATGATTCTTTTTAAATAATTAATTATCTAACTTAACTCAGAAAACAAAATTGTAGATGGTATGGGCCGACACTATGTACATCGGTTGCGCAGTATCACAGTATCAGGATGGCAAATGGAACTCTATTCTAGTGGTATGCAATTATGCACCAAGGTATGCTACCGTAATTTATAGATAATAAACATATTATACATGTGGACTCGAGATTACTTAAGTACCTACACCTCACTTGACAAAAGCATCTGTCAAGCATAAGATTGGGTTTTCTTTCGAGCCTTAGGGAAGCCGAGCCTCGAGCCTTTCGAGCCTTATATTATAATATAAGATATTAGGAATAGTAAGTAAGTAGATGGTACAAAAAAGTACATTGGAAATTTCATGGGACGACCCCTCTCATGGCATGGTACTGAACAACTTTCCAAAAAAAAACTTTCCATATTTCTATGACTGTAGTCAAGAATACAAAAAGCTTGACGCTTCGAACTTTGAACGGTTCTTATCGAAAGCGGCATAGAGTTCTTAATGTCAAGCTCTACGTGTTTCTGATACTGTACCCAACTTTTCATACGAATTATACAAATACAAAATAGCTGATTGTGTTTAGTATGGTAACGAGAAAAAATTGTTACTTGGATATGGGTTTCTTAAAGAAGTTATTCATTATCAATGGTAAAGTTATCCCTTCAGATGTATACAACACACTCGATAAACAAAGTGATTGTAAACTAATCTAAGAGCCACATCGCGCTAACAATCTTTCAGTGCGAATAACGGCGTGTTTACACTAGGTCTATAGGTCGCCTTGCCTACTGAACGCAGGCGGCAAACTACTCAATGTAGACACTGAGTCGTTTGAGAACCTTAGTTCGCTGCCGAAGTCTACCGAGTTGACTAGGTGTAATCACTGCCAAGCGACTAGACTCGTCTTCGGCAATGTATGGCAATGTGCGGTGGGGGCCGAGGAAAACCTTCCTACCCAATCAGTTTGTTGAACATTTATTTATTTATTTATTAAAGGACATTTCGAATGATTTGTTGTATCTCTGTGCGAAATACAAGTTTTTGTAAAATGATTTGATGATTTCGGCGAAGGCGGCAGTCGACTCGGTGTAAACAGGGCATCGACTGTGCCGGCTTTGTCAGCCAAATTTGTGAAGTCGTCTGCCGAAAACGGCAAACAACTTTGTGTAAACACGTAATAACGTTGAGAAATATTGTCGCCTTTTCAAGATAGTAGTTTTAGCGTAGTGTAGTTGACTAACCTCTATTTACTTGTCGTTCAAACTATTTACATGGAGTTTAACATTTCAGGGGCAACAAATTAGACGATCATCCTTATGACACACAAGGACGCAGAACGAACGGACTTTTATGTAATCTTTCTAATTGTAATGGCATATATGGGAAAAGTTGTTCGTAAATATATGCAATGATGCAATTATTTCTTTTATATGGTCTTCCAATTTCCATGAGTACCCGTACAGGCAATTATCGGTGGTTTACTATAATAGCGGCCTATCTCAACTTAAGAACAAGCAGTGAATTGGGTGTGTCAAAAATACACGAACATTCAATAATCCTCCTAGGAGTAACGAAAGAGTAAGACACAATAAGAGTGGTTCACACGGCGACTTTTACACTTGGAATTTATAGGCGATTGCATCGCTGCTTAAAATCGCGAGCATATCGTAAAGGTAGACGATTTGGGACTGCATCGCTACTGCAACGCGTTTGCATCGATGCTAATATTTTTTACAAGTAGTATTTTTACAGGTGACACATAATTTGTTTTAGAATAGCGGTCAAGTAGAAAGTATCTAATTTATCAGTAAGATGGCTTAATAAAAACTGAGGCGCATAGTTAAAAAACATATCAAGCTTGACACTTTGGACCGTTCTTAAAACAAGTGGCGCAAAGGTTAATTTCAATCTCAAGTGTCGGTCTGTGACAGTTGTCGTTACCTCATGGCAGAGGCACTGCTCTTGACCCTGGTGCGCGAAACCGATAAATCGCATACCGGCTCAACAATATTTTCACGTGATCACGTAGCGATCGTTATATTTATTCCCAATAAAATGTTACATATTATGAATACAGCCTAATACATAGGTCCGCTTCGTCGTGTTATTTTATGCTACATAAGTCGTAAGGCTTTCAACAGATGGAGTACATGACTGTAGTTAACATGCATCGTGATCAACTGCATGTAGCAGGGATTTCATGCGTTCCTAATTTCAATAGCGTGCATTCGAGACTTCTTTTCTTTTTAATAGCAAATGCCACAGCAGAGTATGTGAGCGGAATGCAGTTTGCTGACAAATCAAAATGGAGGATTTCGATAGTGATATTTTTATTCTCTTAAAACTACAGTTGTAATCATAAATGTTCTGAATACAGACACAAGTTACAAGTAACATTCGTGCTTCTATTTCGACATCAACAAATACACTGACTTCCTGGGCTAGGCGCGCGGTGATAACTGCTTGTAGTAAGTGTTGAGCTGTGTTGAGTTAGTCTGGTAGTAGCTTATACAAAAGTTGACAGTTACAGAGTGTGTAAAGAGCGACACTCTGCCCGGCCAAAAATTAATAATCACTAACAGGAAACTACAAAATTGCATGGACGCGCTAAAATCGATTTAGTTTAAAAGCTAATAATAAAAAATAAGCTGTATTTTAAGCATTAGAGTCAATATCAATAATTAAAAAAGTCGTAAAATCAGGTGGCAAATAAAAAATAAATTAATACTTGATTACGACTCAAGTCGTATATAATTTTATGAATTTTGTTCAATTACCAACCGCGCGCGCTACAAAATTTTTTTCGCGCCAATTTTATGTCCTATGTCACCAGCGAGTCATGACTTGAAATTGATGACAAAAAGGTTCGGATCAATTTGCCTATATATTATTGCCTGGATAAGAAATGTATATTTTATTTTAAAGATAATATGTTCTATAATAAATTGTATCTTCCAAAGTGCGCGTCGCCAAGCAGCTCTAAATATCTCAACCTGATTATCCACCGAACCAGCATTATCTACAACTGAGCAGGCAACCCCACTAGCGTCTTTCCGCAATCGATCCAGATCCATGGCCCCAAAATTGCGTTGTAGGAGAATACGAATAGATAAACGAGGTCGTGATACGTAAAGGCATCAGCAGTAAATCGACCATGTTTGGTCACAAGTTCGGGAAAAGAGACAGCTATAAGATCTAACAATGAGGGAATACAGTCGAGGAAATGATGCGTAGCACTAGATGGAACAATATGTAATTTTGAAGAGTTCATAACGGAAAGAAGACTATGCGACCGAGAATCGTTTTTAAGGAGGCACGTATTAAAATCACCCGTTAGAATGGTGTGGTCGTAAGAAGGTTCAAGAGTGGAAAAGTAGTTAATCCTTAGAGATGGACTACAGTAAACACCGAGAAGATAAGATACTTCAGGTAAGACAGAGTAATTTCTAGAAACAATGTTCAGCGGTATTGGGTGGAGGAGGCTGAGTTGATGCGCTAAGGATTACAAAAGGAATATGGCTTCGAAAATAAATGGCTACCCCACCAGGGGAAGAACTTACACGATCATTACGGATCAATTGAAAAACTGGAAGAGAGAAAGAAGTAGAAGGGAGACAAGAATTTAAGAACGTCTCTGAGACAAGAATGACGTAGCAAGCATGTACGCATAATGTGCCGGAATGCTTTGTACATTAATGTTTACAACAACAAAATTTTTTGGAGCTTCTGAAAACGTGTTATGTAGTAATTTATCAAGAGCAAGCAAACTGTGAAAATTATCGTCTGAGAACCCTGAGGAACAAGACATAAATAGGTCACTTTGGTTACATAATGATATATCCATAATAGGTTTACAAGTAACCGTAAAGTAATATATATGGTAAAAATATAATAAAAATACGTAAATTAATAATAAAATAAAAAGTGAAAAACAAAAATAAATTAAAATATTTCATATCCGCCAGAATAAATCTTAAGAAGAAGTCTAAAAAACTTAAATAGAAATCTTAAGACTCTATACTACCTCAAATGGCTTTGGTTGATTCCGCATAACAGTAAAAGTGTTGAATCAAACACTTTGTAAAAATATATAGTAAAATTGAGGATACACAAATTACAATACGGTGTGAAAACATGATTCCTAAAAATATTCACAATAGAAAATAAATACAAAAATTAAATATACGATAAACATTTTTCAAATGGCTTTAATTTCGTTTGAAAAAAATAGACCGTAGAAATAGAATAGCCCGTCGTCGATCCAAGCAAAATGAACCGTGTTAGTACGGGAAAAGGTTGAATTTGAGCTGAGGTAGTATCGACTCTTAATAGAAGAATTAAAAATCTAGCTGCCTTTTAAATTATATGGATAAAACTTTAATTCTAAACATGAAAATATTTTCCATAAAAAGGTATTTATATTTTATTTGGATATATACTTTTTTGGTGAATAGGTAGGATAGGTACCAACATCGTTTAGGGTTATTTGTTTGTGTAGTTTAGTTTAGTTCTCTTAACATTACAAATTTCATACAATTACGATTACATGTCATTTTGTACTACTCTTCGAAAAGTGAGCGACCGTTTACAAAATAATGAAGAAATAATTATATAATAGTGAGTCATAAGTACACAATAGTGTACATATACAAAATCAACATAAATAATTAAACTAATAAATAATTGAATGACACTAACAATGTCAAGTGTATACAGGAAATGTCAATATGGATTCTTAATAACTAACAAATCTATATTACAGTATAATAATACGGTGAATGTCAAATTCATTAATAAATACAATAATTTAATTATTTATTAAGTACTTAGAGTGTACCCTGTTACTGAGTAAAGGGACTTTTCCAATAAAAGGTTCTTCAGTCTGCACCTGAACGTTTCCTCACAACATTTGTTTTTTAGTTCGGCAGGTAGGCGCTCATAGTAGGTCGGTCCTATAACCCGCGGGTTTTTTTCATGAAGTGCAGTGCGACGCTGTACTAATCGGAGTTGTCCCGCATGACATGAATTGCGCTGGTTGTAGGCAACATATCAATATAGGTGAATTGCTAGAGTGTTGCAAATGTAAGGGCAAGTTTCATTATATGTGCGTAAACATAACAAAAGCACACTTTGTATCGCACAAACAGGATCTCGAGCGTACTTGGATATGCCCTGAATGTGCCCTTATTACTCGACGCATTCTAAAAAATGACCTTACTCCTGTTCGAGTTCACTTTCCGTCGTCATTGCTGAATGACACAGTAGGGTCGACTGGCGAGTCGCCCTGTGCTGAAGCTGTGAAGGGAGACGGATTCGGACCCGATATAGCTACAAATAGTGCAAATAGCACATCTTTGGAGACAGTCCTCCATGAATTGCGCGAGTTCCGCTCATTGGTTACAGCACATTTTGAAAAGCAGGATGCGCGACTTGCGACGTTCGCAAGTGATATTAATGATCTACGTACATGTCTTAAGGACGTCAGTCAAAATTGTTCTTCACTAAAATCTGACTTCGATGAATTGGCGGCCACCGTGCAAAACCTAACAGAAGAGAATTACTCTATTAGATCAGCGACCGAGCATTATGATAGGCGTTTGCGTGAGCTTGAAACTGCAAAATGTAATATGGAGCAGTGTTTGGCGGCTTCAAAGTTGCGTATGGACTCTGTTGGGAGTGGTACATATGCGAACGTAGCCAAAAAAGAAAGTACAACACTTATTCGACCCCAAGCAACCAGTGCGACTCCTATCGTTGAGAAACGCACTCCAAAAGGAGAACGTCAGTTGCATCGTGTACCACGCTCCCATCGTTCTGTAATAAAAGCAACAGGCGAGGCTGACGCGGAACTTAAATCGATTGAGCCTGTAAAGTACTTCCATATCTGGAATCTTCACGCCGATACCACAGCAGATAACATATTGGCATATATGCGGAAGAAAGGGAAAGGAAGCGCGTTTACATTGCAATCGCCTCCACCATCTCATGACTCCCACAAATGTTTCATTGTGGGCGTCCCAATTGAGCATTTTGAATACTTCATGTCACCGTCCAATTGGCCGAAAAATGTATCACTGCAAGAATGGTTCATGTATAGAAAGCAACGGAACCAAACGAACGCTCCTTCTAGTAGAACATTTTTTCGGAAAAAAACGAATGAAAGTACATCGTAAGATTGATCTTTTTTACCAAAACGTAAGGGGTCTTAAAGGTAAGAAAGACAAAGTAAAGAATGCATTATTGACATTTCCTAATAAGTTATTGACCCTAACTGAGACCCGACTCAATGACTCAGTGCATGACTCGGAAGTATTCCCGCCTGGATGGAGCGTAGTACGCTGCGACCGCTGTCTGCGTGGTGGTGGAGGCGTGCTACTTGCTGCACGCGCTCCCTATGTACTGCGCCCCCTGGAATGCGGTGCTGCCCACAGGGATGAGGAGTACGAATTAGCATGTGCAATGGTGACTGGAGGTTCGGTGCGATTTGTGTGTTGTGTAGTGTATCTGCATCCGCGGGTACCTGTATCCGCATATTACTCTGTATTTGATTGTATAGAAAAATTGTTACAAAATTACTCTGAATTACCAATGATTGTCGT